TCAGCGCTCGGACCGGGTAGAGAAGCAATTTCTCCTGATCCTCCGGACCGACAATATTTGCCAGCCGGGGGATGACGATCAGGTGAGGATCGTGTCCTGGGATTTGGTTCTAGGCGAGAAACCCGATTCGTGTCTTTAGCACAACTTGATTGTCCATAACGGCGGTACATCATCCGGGATGGACAATGCCCCCCAGCTCTGGCCGACGCCTACCTGAGGCGAGGACCAGTAGGAAGACTATTTTCCACGTCAAAAATTTGAGTGGTGCTTGATCAGAGAGGCTCAAAAGGCGGTCTGCTTAGAGCGGACAACACAGTCGACAAGTCCCAGTTGGGCAGTTCCCTTGCATGGGGTCTCAGCGTCTGGAAAGCAGTAAATAGTCTCCTAATAGTAGGACAATCGGTTAGTCTTATTCCCGTACGTTTGAATGGTGGGGCACAAGGCCGACCTGTAGCCAACAATCGCTGCATAGGACAAACCCACTTCGTCAAACAGGTGGACGAAGGAGCCTGCTACCTGGCCAATAGAGGGATGGTATCGATCAATCTCCCTTCCGCTACAATAACCAGTGTATGCTCGCAGCCTAGAAATGTAGGCTGCATTGGTGGAATCCCTGTTCGCACTGGCCAGGAACTTGGCAGCCCGCAATGATAAAGCTTTCGTAAGTTGGAAGCACTGCTGGTGTTTCGACTATCGTTTCCGACAGAAGTGGAAACTAGGCCCTGTTTGGCCAATTGGGTGCGACCAATGATAATATGCAGGTGTGCACCTGTCGAAGTCTTCTCCGGTGCCCGGTGGACTAGCGGGAAGGGAGGAAAAGCGTACACAACTAAGTGGGTCCGCGGGGTAGCAAAGCGACCCTGGCCCAGGCTCCTGGAGTCAGCAGGAGTGTTACGTATGTTGGGAGCTTGGTGTTCCGGGGTGCGGCAAACGGTCTAACCATGGACCATCCACAGCCGAAACAGCCTGGAGGCTACCCACTGGGGTATCAGCCACTCCGTGTTCTAGAGACGGAGTCGCCCTGAAAGGGCGTCGCCAGACTGTTCCTCACCCCTGGAAGGTGGTGTGCGGTTAGCTCCACATTGTATTCCAGGCACCAAAGGAGGATTTTGCTCCGCTAGGACTGACAACGATGGGGAATGCGTCCCCCCCCCTTCTTGAAGGAGACCACCGCTGCGTTGTCTGTGCGGAGCAGGACTCTGTGGTCTCGAACTACGGGTAGAAAGCGTGGTAGTGCTAAGTACACTGCAAACAGTTCGAGCCGGTTGATATGGTGGTCCCAAAACTATGCGGGAGCCATATCCTTGGGCTTGTTCGTCCAATAGATGCGCTCCCCAACCCTGGGGGGAGGCATCTGTTACCTGAGTCATACCTGCGGCGAGCGGGTCCAAGGGGGCCCCTCTGCCCGAGGTTGGTCAGTGACGACCACCAGGGCAGGGCTTCCTTCACTTGGTCCGAGATCGAAACCCGCCTATCTAGTTCCCATAGGAGAGCTTGGCGTTATAACAAGCGTTATACCGGGCGGCTGCGTAGTGCGGCCTGGGGAACGACCAAAGTTCGAATACTTGGCCCAGCCGGGCGATTCGAAGGAGATGGCAACTCGCTAGGTGCATCGGTACGTGCAGGTAGGGCCCGCTTAAGTCTAGCGGGGCTAGCCAGTCAAAACGGTGGATGGAGAGAAGAACCCTGAATGGTGTCTCCATGTGGAACCGATCAAGGGGCACGTACTGATTCAGTCTGTCTAGGTCCAAAACTGGACGCCTGCCACTTGTATATTTGGTACTACGAACACATTTGGGTAGAAGCCTGGACTTAGTTCCGGCTGATGTACCCTGTGTATGGCGTCTTTCCCCAGCAAACTGCTACTTCCTGTCTGATTGCTTCCGCCTTGCGGGAGTCCTCTGGCAGTGCCCAACAGGGGAGACACTGACGGGGGGAAATGGAGATTTCAGCGGTATGCCGTAAACGGATGTCACCACCTGGAAAGGTCCAGGTATCGGTCACCCGCCATCTCCAAACCGGACTACACCGGCGCAATCTGTGTACGACAGGGATGTGTGGCCATGTGTTCGGCAGTTGCGAGGGGGGGGGGTGCTCCCTTCCCCCATGAGGTGAGTTCCCCAAGGCCTGAAGTAGTCACTAAGTTGTGACCTGGACACTCACCGAACACGTGCCTGTTCCCTCTTACCTCCCTGGGGGCGCGCCACTACCCTTCCCTCCCATGGAAGGGTATAAGCGCTTGCCTCCTGGCTGACTCTGGCTAGCGGACAACGCCCTAGGGCGTTGTGTTTTCTGTGCTTGGGGTGCCCTCTGCTTGCCCATGGCAGGACCAACTGGCTAGCGGATTCGATCTGAACCCTCTGATTCATTGCACTCCGAAGCTCCGAGACTGTAAACACCATTCCCTGAACAAAGAGGGTGGAGGGTGTCCAGTCTGCGTCACTGAGGTGGGGACGTACATTGTACCCCATCGCTGATTAATGCCTACAGTTCAAAATAGTCATTTTGACTGACCGGAGTCCATGGTGGGTAATTGAACGTAGTGAATTGAGGTTCTGTAGAATACTTTATTTTTGCTTGGAATTTATTTTCGCTATTTTTCGCTGAAAGGATGATTCCGTGAAAATAAAATCCAGCGAATATACTTTTTTCCCCATATTTCACATTAAACTCATCAAAAATCAGTGAAAATAAATTCCATACAAAATGCCCAAAAAACCTTTTCATCGAAAATTAATTCCAGCGAAAATAAAGTATTCCACAGTATTACAAATACACAGGTTGTATCTTGCAATATCACTCAATATTATCTCTGGTTTCAGTCCCTGATATCCTCAAATGGTATACCTCCATCTTTGATTCCTTCTTGTGTTAATGTACTACTATCTGAAAGTACATTTCCACTGGTCACATGAACCAACTTAAAATAAAGGACAGATTTAGAAGCTTCAGGACTTGTCACTGCAAAAAATAAATGAACATATTAAATTAAAAAGATATAAATACAAATATTCAACAAAATTTGATTTATTTTCACATTTCACATCATATACAGTTGGTTATGTGAACACCAATAAAATTAAAGAGCAGTGGTTGCCGCATGTAAACAAAAAATGTAATTTACACACGTTGTGCATGTCGTTATGAGTCCCATAGCGAACAGGACACAGCGCGAAAACCACCTTTGAGAGTTTGAGCCAATTTCGGAGATTGGGTTGAACCAGAGAATTTTTTATCGGTAAACTGAATACAGCATGAAATATTTACTGCATTTTACTTTTATTAACAGGTCATTGTCGAAGCGTAGTTTACGCACGGTTACCGTCTATGCATTCACAACATATTCACGGTGGTTAATATCCATGCTGTATCATGATATAAAAATGATTACCAGTATTCGTTAAGCAATAATCAAAAACCAAGTTTTAAATTAGTGGCATTATGAAGGGATGGGCGCTTTGCCTAATGTGACCCTGTATAAAAAAATTGTGCAAAAGTGGGGAGCGCTTGACTGGGCATGCGCGTTAACGTCGGCGAGTACTGTAATTTGGGAGACAAATTCAAGCTTTGTCTTACTTACATGTAGCATGTTGGGGATGTATTATGGGATAGAAAAAGAAACTATGCACTACTGAGCATGGACTGATCAGGACCACACAATTATTTTATTTTTCTTTGGCTTTATTTACATTTAAATTAATCTGATAGTCCAGATACGTACTTGCTGCGCAATTCCATAGAAATTTTTCCTTGACTTTTTCCACCAGAGTAGAAGGATCTACTTCAACGATAGCTGGAACAAAAAAAATAAAACATTATCATTCTGTGTTTAGAAGATCTCAGTCATATTCCACTGCTTCACTGCATATTCTGACATGCTTACATATCAACTGAGACCCCAGAAACCATACACAATTTCTTGGATAAACTTAGATCCCGAAAACTTTATCTATTTTCTCATATCCAAATCGCATATGCCATTTTATTTTAGATTGAATTTCAAAAAAAAAACGTGCAATGTTATCATATGTCCGGTTTATTGTTATGATTCGTGGCTCGGCTGCTCCACCCACCGTATGACGTATATGCAAATTTACATATTAAATTTTTGGATTTTGTGGTCACATGACTTTCACGTTCACCCCTCGTTTACACAATTTATATTTATTTTTCAAGAATTTTTCATCGGAATCGCAACAGACTGCAAACAAGTCTAATCTGAACTATATATTTGAGTGGTGTTACGTCTGTCTAAAATGACTACCGATACGATTATAATAACTATGGCGTTTAATGTAATAAAGTAGTGGTGTTCTGTGCTTGTCATTGGGCTTGAATCGTACCAATTCATGTGTACTAGAGGATTTGATCTAGATCCCATGTGACGTAGTAAAAACCATTTATTTTTCACTGCTAGAAATTTGTGTAAATAAAAATTTGCGCTGTAGGACCCTAATTTACTGATTTGCAAAATTTGACAAAAATTGTCTCATGAAATTAAATCAGGTTACAGTAAAATCAAAGATTTATAAGATAAGATTACATGTACTGATTTGCATCTTTGATATCTTTTTTTCACCACCAATTATCTCTTTTCATCACAACTTTACAAAATAGTCTCTTTTATATATCCTTCTGAAGATTGGGACAAAAATAGCCAAATTTTTTAAGTAAAAACTGAAAATTTACTCAAATTTTGTCTGTTGGCTCCAAAATTAGGGTTTATTTCCAGAAATATTGAAGAATATAAAAAAAAATTACAGAAAAAATTTAGGCGGGAAAGTCTGGTGGTGAAAAGGTTAAACATGTGTGTATGAATTGGTGTACACTGTACGTGATGATGATCGTAGTACTTATTCACTGTTACAATGCTGTACCATTACTTTCACCATCCTACTACAGCCAGATCTGAAGGCCTTTGCCGCATTCTGGCCACGCTGTGTGGCGCGGATCGCGTGGACGGGTTTCATGTTCTCTGCACGTAATAAGCTCGGTTATTAAGCATCCTTTTTTGGGGATGCCCGGTGGCCGAGGGGAAGACGTGTAGTGGCGTGGAGCTAGGCGATTAGGTGCCGTACGCGAGCGCCGGTTCGAGTCACGCACGCAGTACGTGTTTACTATAATTAGACATAGTCTTTACCTTTCCGTTTATTCGGTGTTATTTGCTTACGTAGAAAATCTCATGACTTCCATGCACAATCGAATGTGGACAATTGGTAAGGTTCAATAATCAGAAATAAGTAAGATTATCACATAATCAAAATCGCAAAATGCACGTAATACATGCTTTGTGAGTAAGCAAGGACACAGGGTGAGACAAATACTAACCAGTTTTTTGACAGTCATTTGCATACTCATTTGCATAGTATTTCTAGAAATGTAGCGTTTTGCAGGTTTTTTATCATCACGCGAAGACATTCATTGCATATCACATTTCTTACATATTATCATCTACTGAAATTTTGAATTTTGAACATTGAGTTGATTTTAGAAATACTGCCCTCTTTTGCATTCCCAAATTATAACATGTTAGATTAACTATTTAATGAATACTAACTCAACCTTAACAGTTAAGATAGTCACTACAATTAAAACATTAAACAATTGATCACAGAAAATAATTAAAAAATTGTTGTGTGATGATTCACATACATGCTTGTCTTTCATAATTAACGTTTTTTCTAAGAAAGATGGATGTGTTTCCAAGGAAACAAATTATTTGTATGTATTTAATACATACAAATATTTAGCCCAATTAACACAACATACAATGTATCATTTTTTTAGCATCCGTCAGAGTACAAAATGTTGAGACATGATGGAATGTTTTTGCCATAGGAACCAATTGTAAACTATTCAAAAAACTCATTTTTGATGAATTTTGGGGATTGTTTTGTTTTTATTTCAGAATTTTGAACATTTGAGTAACTCAACCCCTCTTGCTGTAATTATAATTAAAATGAGGGAGGGGCACTGGAGGGGAAGGGTTACGATTAGAGATATGGATATGGGGGCTAAGGAACTCTTACCAAACATTTAGTTATAAATTGGACGTGGCGTTGCGAAATTGGTGTGGTTTTTAATCTATAAGCATGGGCGTTTATGTAACTCGAACAATTCACCTCTGTATTGTATTTTTGTACGGGTAAGTCATTGGTAAAATACATTGTTTTGTTGTTGTTGTTTTTTGCAAGAAAATGCAGCCCAGACAAAAATATTGATTGCTTAACACTCCGCGAGCGATCACTTCCGGGTGCAAATAAATATACTCCGTTAAATTATGGTGTATTGATGATGACGATGCAGAATTTCTACCCAAGTAATAGTAGTATTCACTAATAGTATTCACAGTGCAATTGTTAACAGCTCTGTTTCATGATCGCAGAGTGCTAGTACCGATCGCTATCGACCGGCAGAGAATAAATACTGACCCTCTTCCCCTTTCATATCCGTAATTCTCAACTTCATCTTTCCTTCAAAGAGATTCGATTCTGTCACAACCATGACCAATCAGAACAAGTTTATGAACACCCGGCGTGATTTGACTGGGTGGAATCGCACAATGCACAGGCCACTCGCGATGAAAGTTAGAATTTCTGGCGTTATGAAATCAGTGAAGTGATTTCAGAAAATTTCGTGAAATGTTTCTGACACATGAAGGCCGCCATTTTGAATAATCAGTGGCCGCAGTTCTCCTCGTTCTCCGAAAAAAAATCAGATTTCAAACGTCAACAAAACAATAATGTAAACTTAGCATAATAATTTTGCTTTATTTTCTTTTCAAATGTCGTATATTCCCTATCAATACTGGGAAATTAAATATATATATATATCCGGAAGTTAATCTGTGTAGGTCAAAATATGTCCTATTTCCTTCTTCCGGTTTGGTCGCCATTTTGACAGACCTACAGTGGTCCAAGTCCGATGTAATCACGTTTTATTTTTAAAACGACAAATTACTCGTTTCACACATTCCAAGGAGCGTAAAAAAGAGGTGAGATGTCCAAAAATGTTTGGGGAAAATAATGTTAATATTATCAGGGGTGGGATTGCACTAAGTATTCCTGTACCTGTTATTCCTTTAATGAAAATCGTGTTTAGTTTTTTTTTCTGCGCTTGCTTGTAACTTACGCCTATCACGACGCCTTTATGATTGCCCACGCATACATACTTTGTTACCTCGAAAATGAAACTCACGTTTTCGCTGTACGTGTCGTGTCATATCGTTCTCACTAATTTTGTTTCCATGGTCCCCATTCCAGAATAAACAATCTACATAAATCGAATATGTTACAGTTTTACTTCTGCTCCTACTAAAACTATCGATAATAAAACTTGTGTCGCAAAAAACTAAAAGAATCGAGAATAAATTAATTTAAGGTAATTAATCAAACATGTAATTAATAAGGAAATGCACGTTTTTCATTTCTAAAACGTGTATTCGATATAAAACTGTTGAATTTAGGTCAACATATGTTGCTTTCAGTTCACCTAGAGGCAAATCAATTCTTTTTTTACTATCTGTTTTTTTTATTATCAATAGTTTTAGTAGGAGAATGCAATTTGCTGTTTTTATTTATATCACTCTTCATTCTCTGGATATTCTACTTTTCATCATTATTATGTGGTGCGCCATCTCAATTCTCTAGCAAAGAATGGTGTATGACACCATAGCTACTTTTGTGAAAAATTGAGAAAATATATAAGCTACTCTCACGGATACATGTACATTGTATTAAATATATGAAGAATAGAGAATTTGATAGAAAAACAAAAAAATGAACATCTTTAGGTCTGTTGCCATGACAACCATGTGTGGTTATGATCGATATGCTACCTTGTTCTAACCGATCAACCTATTTGAAATCCCACTTTTGAAGTTGCAGATGAAATTTTCTCAATTGTTTACATCAGTAGCTATGGTCCCATGATCCTTTGCTGGAGAATAAAGATAGTCGACTAAACGATACTGATGAAAAGTATAATGAAAAGTGATATAAAAAAAATGTAAATTGCATTCTGTTACATTTGTGGAGCTCCATCATCTGGGAACGTCGTTGTTTGCCATTAGACTTGTTAACTAATGAGCTACTAGTATATTAAAGAAATAATGATGAAGGAAAAGAAATTTCATATATTAATACTGTATATGCTCTATTGATAGCACATACACTTAAATTAAAATGATTTTTTTTTGGTCAAAATAACAGCCAATGCAATTTTTGGTTTACATGCGCTTCTATTTGAGAAAATACGATAACTTTTCACTCAACAGAAAATACATCTGAGGATTTTGTATTGAGGTGTGATAGATGAGAAGCTACATGTGCTGTGGTACCTTGACTCAAATTCCATTCAATAATGCTGCAGCTTACTGGTAATTGTAGCATTGCATTTGGATATTCAGGCCCTAGTCATTTACTTCCCCAGTCTGTTTCAGCATAGCGTTATTTCTCATCACACAAATGTCCATTGCGGCTAATGTCTATACTTGTAAACCGATTAATTTTGAATGCTGGAATTTTTTACAATTTGCTTTCGTGGCATTCGTGAAGACAAAACTGAGTTGAGTTGAAACATACTCATATACAAGGCGGAATTTGATAAGTTTTATTAAAATAAAGATGCTGCTTTCTGATTGGGTTGGTTGTTTGGGTTGGGTAGCCAATCAGACACAGCCTTATAAGTAGGTTCACTTTTAACTTACAAAATTATGTGATTCCAGAGGAATTTTAACTGTTACGAAATGTTGTGATATATACAAACTTCACGAACTAAAGCTGTTAACAGTAATATTAAATTTTTTTTAATTATAGAAGTATTTAAAATATCAATTATTTCTTGAAAGTCAAACACAACATTTCAGTTGCCATTCATAGTAAAACCGCTGTACTTTATTCCTTTGAGACTCACATTTTTTTTGGTAGATTTCTGTAATTTTAACTGAATTCAATCTTTATTTTGCATTAAAAAGACAAAATATGATATTACTAATAGCATTTGATCAAAAAAATTGAAATGTCCACAACATTTTATGTGAAAAAGATAAGACTATAAATGCAACTATTTTGTGAATGGTGTCTGAAGTTAGGGTTAATGTGGGTGATGATGGTGTTTTAATGATGACCATTGTCACAGGGGTTGAAGAATACGGTGGTCCGAGGTCCGGGACTCATAAATTACTTTGACGGACCTCCGGATTAAAAGCACTAATAGTCCGTCGGACCATTGATTTTATAGATAAAAAATAATAAAGGTGTCTGCATATAACAATTTAATCTAAAACAGTCCTGATATTCGTAGTCTCAAAACTGAATTTATTACGTGGAACGTAGTGACGTTCTCCGTTTTCTTACGCAGACTGTAATTGGTCAATAATATAGCGCGCGGAAACATCAATGATGTCGGCCTACTTTGTGCGTGACAGCATACAATGAAGCTTGCATGCGCAAACATTATTTGTGTACAGCAGCTATGAGTAACAGTTTGTTTGATTTTGGGTTTAGTCAAACTAAAAAATCTAAAGGGAGTGATAACCATGAGACAGAAGAAGTTCCGTCTAAAAAACAGAAGTACAATGTGACATCAAGTCATAGTGAACCAGAGAAACTCGCGAACTTGACGAAGGACAAGAAACAGGGTTCTCCCCAGGGCTTTTTAGCGCCGAGGTCCGCGGCGCTATACCTGTGAATCTCGGCGCTTCACTTGGGACCTCGGCGCTATGTGTTCCCACCTCGGCGCTTGATTTCATATTTGACATGCCAATATCAGATGTGAAAAAGCTTTGTTCGCCACGCCGGTCGGCCCCGACCGTCACTCAAAATTAGTGACCACCACGGAAATGCTTCCGACGAGGAATATTGTCTGATTGTTGGTATAATTACATACCGACCGACACGCATCCTGCCAGTCGTGGATTATAATTTATAAACAATAGACCTAGTCGCACGATACGTAGCGGCTAGTCAAATTTGTGGAATTAGCACCTCTTTGTTTGTAAGTAAATACTTTCTGCGATAGACACAGTCTTTAGATTGAAAGCTAAAATTATTTCAAAATCAATTCCACCTCGATATAACATGGTCAAATCGGAGTTCACGATCAGTTCACGCTACTCAAGAAAAAAACGTGTTTATTGCGTGATTTGGTAAAATACATTTGAACTGTTATCATTGCGAATCATGTAAAAACTCTTCTTTCAAGACCTAATTTACCTTTTAAAATTGCAAATCACCTCTTTCGAAAGCTGTCATGCAGTTTTCAATTGAAATCGATGCCAACACATCGTGCTACGACATCGCTTTACTTCGCATGTAATTT